AAAATTGAGTTCAAAATAGGTTCATGCATATCTAGATGCATTTGGAAGAAAGGACACAATTATTAAAAGGAGTAGAAAAGCTGCGTACAATGCCGAGATGCGTTGCTGCGCTAATCTTGAGTGAATTTGCAGTTGTACTCGGACGAGGAGTCTGATGAAAGTGAAGTCTCATCCAACGAACACTGCCGCAATGCTGCCAGCTGTTCGGCTAGTGAGGTAACGTCATTTTTACTTTGAGTGCAAGTGTCAGCTTTTGATAGTATATTTGATTTTTTTTCGTAACACAGATAACTTCAAACCGCTAGTCACTATGATCTACAGGGTGTCCGTAAAAAATGTGCCTACTGTTTGATTGTGAATAACTCTCTTCTAACAAAGTCTTTCGAGAAGCTTTAGGCACCATTTTGTAGAGCGAGGTTCAACTTAGATTTGCACTATAGAACGAATCACCGAGCTCTTTTTATTACTGTAGGATTACGGTAGGAACTTCGACAAGGATTTTAGGTCTTTGGAGGCCATAATGCCTCGGAACATAACCAAACAAGCCGGAAATTCTTACACTATGGTAATGGAAGCCGCTCTTTTCGAATATGAAATTTCCACTTTACTGTGGTGCCTCTTTCCTAAGTTACCCCAGGTGAACTGTAATAACTGAATTTCCAGCATTTTTCAGAAATGTGATTACACCGTCAAAAAAGCTGAAAACACCCGTAAAAAGTTGTGTAGTGGAATCAGCGTGCGCGAAAACCTTAGTACACGATTTTTCAGATTTTTTGAAAAAAATTTTCTCAGGCGGCATATTTCACGATGGTTCCATATGCTGAAAGTTCCTACCGTAATCCTACAGTAATAAAAAGAGCTCGGTGATTCGCTCTATACTGCAAATCTAAGTTGAACCTCGCTCTACAAAATGGTGCCCAAAGCTTCTCGAAAGACTTCGTTAGAAGAGAGTTATTCACATTCAAACAGTAGGCACATTTTTTACGGACACCCTGTATATCGTTTCATTCATAACCTTTCGTTAAAAAAGTTGGTATGTTGGTCTCAACTATATCCAAAATTCACAGATAAACTTAGGCCCTGTTAAAGCTAATTGCCCCACGTCTGTCTTGACACAGTGTGTAAGGGTGCCTTCATACCGCGCCGGCAGCCACCGCTAGCAGCCCATAGCAGCCGCCAACAGCCTCCAGCAGCCCGTAGCAGCCCGTAGCCGCCGCTGACCGTTTTGGTTATAGAGGCGCAAAAACATTAGAATCATCAGAATCTTACTTTGAGTGCTCCTGCCTACGCCTTTCGTCTTCCACGCTTTTTCTTCTGTTGTCGCCAGTGTGCAGTTCGATCTTACATATTACATTTGTGTTCATTGTTTCTGCTGCCGCAAATTGATCCTATCGGTGCTCAAATTTCACTTTTGCAATCTGTCCCGTCTAAAACGAATTGTTGTGCCTTTGTCAAAGTTCAAAGAACCCACGAACCAGCTCACGAATCAATTCGGCGAGCTTGCAAAATAGTAGCATGCAATTCAGATATGCACCGATAGTCAAGAAGAAGATTTGAAGTAAGAGCTAACTTAAAAAGTAAACAAATTGCTCACCTGCAGGAACTGGACGCATCCAAAGTCGGAAGAATCACACCGGAAAAAACTTCTGGGAACTATAGTTCAACAGGATGACCGTGGGGCGACATTCTAATGAAATGGACACAAATATTTGCGAGATAGAACTACCACCCACTGGCGGCAACAGAAGAATAGGCAGGAGCACTCAAAGTGGTTTTCTGATAGGCTATCAGTGGCTTTCATTAGTCTCTCATACGGGTCATACATGTGAAAAGGCGATAATGTGTTCCTGCCCCCTTCACCCCAGGGCCGGAACCCAGCTGACCCCCCTTCACCCGCGGCCGATGAGGAACTGGAAAAAGTAAGACTAACGAGGGAAGGATACTTGGTGACCGTGGCTTCTTGCAATGAGATGCATACCAGTAGATGCGCCTTGAAATGCTGATTCCAAATCTATGTTCATTATCTGCTGCGCGAGTCTCTGAACGAAATTATGGACTTTTTCCATATAGATTTTGTGAGATTTAGGCGTAGAATCGTCAGTATCCAAGCTTTTTAGGCTGTGATATATCGGAAACAGTTTTCCTGAGCTTAACGTGAAGCTTTACTTCATTTTGACGCTCTTTTATAGTGCATAAGCGACAGGGCCCGGCACGAGTCGGTTTCTAGGGTTTCTGAAAACGAAGTCTCCCCTGACTTTCGGAAGTTTTACGAAGTCCCCTTTGACGTACCTGCTTAGGAGAAGATGAAAACAAGAAAGATTTGATAGTCTGAAAGAAAAGACCTAAGATAAGAGTGAAAATCCAAATTGGAGCTGAATACTACGCATGCACAAGACTTTGGCATTAGAGCGCGATATATAACAAAGCGAAAAGAAATGAAGGCAAAAAACAAAGGAAAGGGAATGATAAGAAAATGTCTTTATTCAGGGATAGATTTTTGACCGGGGATTCCGTCCATACTAGAAAGATCCGAAACTTATGTGAAGTGACGAAAATATATGCTCCAGACGATCTCAGACCGTCTGGTGGCCGTCTGGAGACGATCTAATTTTGAAAAACATGTTTCTTCACATAAGTTTTCAAAGTTTTTTACATAATTCTTTTGCAAATAATTTTCTATACATACCGTTCAATTTTGGTGTCATATGCTTCTGTGTATGCTGTAAACAAGCAATTTGTTTATTTAAGCCTTGCTTTCAAATCGCGCGCACTTTTCGCCATGCACGATAGAGCATGTCAATCGTGTGATAACCTGTTCGAATAGCTTGTGTTCGACTAAATGGCGCATTTTTCTTGGCGTTCGGTTCCTACTCGTCAAAAACGATATCTCCTTTGTGGCTTACTTCAAAAACGAAGTTCAGCCTGCTTCCAGACTATCTATGCCGGACCCTGATAAGCGAGCATTCCAACGATATTGGTGAATCCTGGATCAAAAACAGTGCAAATTTTTGTGGCAAGAAATGCTCATAACTTCTTTCGGAAAAGCGCACAGCAGATACCGAAAGCAGATTTGGAATCAGCGCTTCAAGTTGCCTTTGATGGTTTACGTTCCATTTCAAAAGGCCACGGTCACCAAGTATCCTTCCCTTGTAAGACATTAACATGTTAAGCAAAATTATAAAATTATCGGCATCATTGAAATCAAATTTAGTGACATGTTGATTCTAAATATTATTATTTATATTATTATTGTTGAAACCTATTTGCAGGTTCACTGAGAGGTACGTCGGAAATTTGCCGCCTATTGTTCACTTCTAGAGAACGATAAAAACGCCTTGAAAAAAAATTACATGTGAAGCCGTCGTGTATAGATGTCAATAAAGTTACTCACACTCACGTATTTGCTGAAAGAATAGGTAAAATAATGAACTTTGATGATCGCTGCGCATTTGAATTGCATTCCTTTTGAAGGGGAATAAACTTCCTAAGCAGATGGCGGAATCGTGAAAAGTCATTGATTGATTCCTTAAAGAGTCAGTGTCCCAACTTTTAATATTATTTCTAAACTCTGACAGAGATCGTAACGTTTGCGTAGAGAAGAAGTTGCAACTAGGGGCACGTATTACATCGAAGACAGTGTAATCAGGGTTAGTCTTACTGTCAAAATGCTATAGCTACGAGGATCGTGGAGTTCTACAATCCGCCTAATTGGACGATGATGGGGATGAGAAAGGACAGGAGATGCATTTTTCCGCATTGGAGCACTATACAAGAAGAGAAGAACAAGCGTATCTGATTACTGGTGCGATTTTTCTATAAAAAATTGTAACTTTTTCATATGAGAAAATAGGAGAGTCTCCAGCTGTACATTGAATTACTCTTGTTGAAAGCTTTTAGGAAATATATAGCTTACCAGGAAAGAAAGAATTTTCCTGTAGGGTGGAGGTGGTCGTAATTGTTTTTCTAAAATTAAGGAAATTTTTTTCAATAAAAAATCCATAAACTTTACTATATGGAAAGCTAGAAGAGTCTTCTGCACTTTATTGGAATCCTCTCGTCGTCCGCCTTCTGAAAATATGTAGGTTGCCAGAAAAAAAGGGAATTTTCCTGGCAGGCAGTGGCGTACCGAGGGGGGGGGGGGCGGGGGGGGGGGGCGCGCCCCCCCGAGAATGGGTCGCGAAATTTTTGAAAGTTACTTATATGGGTTATAAAAAATGTGCAAGTGACTTGTTTATTTTTGTAAATAATTAAAATAATTTTTAAAAATTTTTAAAAATTCACATTAGCTTTGTAAAAAATTTTTTTTTCGGGGGCTCTGACGCCACGCCCCCTTTTTTCCAGATTTTAGGGGTCGGAGACCCGCAAAAGTTTTGAGAACTACCCCAAAAATTTTTTTCGGAGTCGTGGCTAATGCCACGCACCTTCTTTAGAAAAATTTTTTTGTCGCGCCCCCCCCCCCCCCCCACCGAGCCGAAATCCTGGGTACGCCACTGCTGGCAGGTGAAAGGGGTCGTAGTCGGTTTTTCCGGAGTTAAGCCAATTTTTAATTTAAAAAAATCATAACATTTTTATGAGAAGCTAGGAGGGTACTTAGGTGTTCATTGAATTCCTCTCGTCGTTCACCTTCAGAAAATATATAGGTTGTGGGGAGACGGATGCTAAAAGTATGTGGTGAAAGGGGGAGGAAACATGGTATAATGGAAATGTTCCTTTCTGTACTCCAAAAGCGTCGTTTTAAGGAGCTAAAGGAACATGCCATCATACCATGTTCCTCCTCCTTTCACCACATACTTTTAGCATCCGTTTCCCCACAACCTATATATTTTCTGAAAGCGGACGACGAGAGGAACTCAACGAACATCTAAGTACTCTCCAAGCTTCTCATATAAAAATGTTATGATTTTTTTTTTGAATTAAAAAATTGGCTTAATTCCGGAAAAAACAGCTACGACCCCTTTCACCCGGTAGGAAAATCTCCTTTTTTCCCGGCAACTTACATATTTTCAGAAAGCGAACGACGAGAGGATTTCAATGGAGTGCAAAAGACTCTTCTTGCTTTTCATATAGTAAAGTTATGAATGTTTATAAAAAAAACTTCCCTGATTCTAGAAAAACAATTACGACCACCTCCACCCTACAGGAAAATTCTTTCTTTCCTGGTAAGCTATATATTTCCTGAAAGCTTTCAACAAGAGTAATTCAATGTACAGCTGGAGACTCTCCTATTTTCTCATAAGAAAAAGTTACGATTTTTTTATAGAAAAATCGCACCAGTGATCAGATACGCTTGTTCTTCTCTTCTTGTATAGTGCTCCAATGCGGAAAAAATGCATCTCCTGTCCTTTCTCATCCCTATCATCGTCCAATTAGGCGGATTGTAGAACTCCACGATCCTCGTAGCTATAGCATTTTGACAGTAAGACTAACCCTGATTACACTGTCTTCGATGTAATACGTGCCCTTGGTTGCAACTTCTTCTCTACGCAAAACGTCAGATCTCTGTCAGAGTTTAGAAAATAATATCAAAAAGTTGGGACAAGGACTCTTTAAGGAATCAATCAATGACTTTCCACGATTCCGCCATCTGCTTAGGCTCCCGCCAGAGTGCCGAAGTTATGCCAGCGCTACGCCAGCATTTCGATCAATACACGTGTATTTCGTTGGGGCGGGGCTAGCTCAGCAGGTAGATGTCCCCAACGAAATACACGTGTATTGATCGAAAATGCTGGCGGCGCTGGCATAACTTCGGCACTCTGGCGGGAGCCTTAGGAAATTTATTCCCCTTCAAAGGAATGCAATTGAAACTGCGCACCGATCATCAAAGTTCATTTATTAGTTCACTTATTCTTTCAGCAATATGTGAGTAACTTTATCGTATACTAGCTGGCTTACCCGGCTCCGCCGTATCCGGACCAAACTTGGCACACATACACTTCGGGCCCCGGCGCGTGTCACAGTCCACTTTTCGTTATCGATCGATGTCGATCTTACCGATTTTTATCGATTTTTTTCGCAGAGTTCACCTACAGGGCTAGGAGTTGGCACAGGGGGGAAGTGAGCATGGGGATTCCGAATACAATATTAGTTTTCAGAATTATCGGTTACTTTTATTGATTTTATCGATTTTTTTGTAAATTTTGACATGCGAGGCTGGGATTTTGCACAGGGGGGGTAATCGAGCATGCTGATTACGAACACAATATTAGTTTTCAGGATCGTCCATTACTTTTATCGATTTTTATCAATTTTTTTGTAAAGTTTGACCTGCGGGGCTGGGAGTTTGCAAAGGGGGGTAATCGAGCATGCAGATTACGAATACAATATTAGTTTTTGGAATTATCCATTACTTCTATCGATTTTATCGATTTTGCAAAATTTGAGCTAGGGGGCTGGAATTTGGCACAGGGGTGTTCGAGCATGCTGATCACCCCCCTTGGGGATGATCAGCATGCTCGATTACCCCCCTGTGCCAACTCCCAGCCCCCTAGCTCAAACTTTGCAAAAAATCGATAAAATCGATAAAAGTAATCGATAATCCTGAAAACCAATATTGTATTCGGAATCCCCATGCTCGATTACCCCCCTGTGCCAACTCCCAGCCCCGTAGCTCAAACTTTGCAAAAAAAATCGATAAAATCGATAAAAGTAATCGATAATCCTGAAAACCAATATTGTATTCGGAATCCCCATGCTCGATTACCCCCCTGTGCCAACTCCCAGCCCCGTAGGTGAACTCAGCAAAAAAATCGATAAAAATCGATAAAATCGATATCGATCGATGACGAAAAGTAGCCTATGACACCCGCCGGGGCCCGTAGTGTATGTGTGCCAAGTTTGGTCCGGATCGGTTCAGAAATGGAATTTTCTATTCGGAACATACGTACACACAGACAGACAGACAGACAGACAGACAGACAGACATACAGACAAACAGACATTCAGCTTTATATATAAGATATAAAGCTGAATGTCTGTTTGTATGTCTGTCTGCATGTCTGTATGTCTGTCTGTACGTATGTTCCGAATAGAAAATTCCATTTCTGAACCGATCGGCTCCAAACTTGGCACACATACACTACGGGCCCCGTCGGATGTCATAGGCTACTTTTCGTCATCGATCGATATCGATTTTATCGATTTTTTGCAAAATTTGAGCTACGGGGCTGGGAGTTGGCACAGGGGGGTAATCGAGCATGCTGATCACTCCCGTGGGGGAAAATCGAAAATCGACATCGATTGATAACGAAAAGTGGACTGTGACATCCGCCGGGGCCCGAAGGGTATGTGTGCCAAGTTTGGTCCGGATCGGTTAAGAAATGGAATTTTCTATTCGGAACATACGGCGGAGCCGGGTAAGCCAGCTAGTTGACATATATACACGAAGGCTTCACACGTAAATTTCTCTCAAGGCTTTTTTGTCTTTCTCTAGAAGTGTACAATAGGCGGCAAATTTCCGACGTAATTTTCAGTGAACCTGCAAATAAGTTTTGACAATCATAATAATTAGAATTAACATGTCACTAAATTCAATTTTAATAATGCCGATAGTTTAATAATTCAGCTCAAAATGTTGATTTATTAGTCTCACTTCTTCCAGTTTTTCTTCTTCAAATTTCAGCGGGTAAAACACAACGCTCGACTTTAACCCGGTTTGATTGCAATTTCACTTGATGCATGTGAATGAAGAGGACATGAGAAGCAATGATGACGAACATTGGCACTCCCCCCCCCCCCGTAGGCCGCCCTCATACCCCTTTCACCCTGGAGAGGCCATGTTCCCCCTTTGCACAAGTATGATAAGGGTGGCCTTTGCTCTAACAATCACTGTATTACGGTGAGTACTTCTTCATGTTCATTTTCATTCGCTTTGGTCTCATTTGATCTCTTGAATGGATCTCTGAGGTCAGATGCGGCGTTTGAGGGGATACGTCATGAGTGGTTTTTGATTTCCAGGACGCTTTGACGAAGGCGAGGACGCCGAAACGTCAGCATCAATAAAGATCATACCATCTTGGGCAACGCTTGAACACAAAATCGATATCAAGCTTTCTGATAATTCTGCGCTTCTATAACAAAAGCGCCAGTGGCGGCTACGGGCTGCTACGGGCTGCTACGGGCTGCTGGCGGCTACTGGCGGCTGCTGGCGGCTGCTACGGGCTGCCAGCGGTATGAAGGCACCCTAAGTGAGCGGTTGTCGCGATGGACTACAAGCGTTTACTTCCTCCAAAGAATTTTGTCGTCAAAATCCGTTTTGTTTCTAACATAGGAGAGCATGTAATGACAAAAACTAGTAATCTAGAAAAATGCGCGTGAAGAGGGCGTGCAGGGGGTGCTCATTGTCGCTTGTAACAAGCCTATAGCTCCTTGGGCTCAATGCTTCGTCGCTCCGCGCGTTGCTGTTCAAAGCGACGCGCGAGCAGTAGGCGTTTCACAAGCCTATAGCTCGTTGTGATCATTTTCTAGTTTAGATCAACGCCCTAATTTGGGAACTGTGTACTACAGAGCTTGATGAAATCTTTACCTATCTTGGGATATTCTTTGAAGCCACCGTCCACCTAGACTGGGGATATTAAGTTCTGATGTCGGATAATGGGGGCCCTTATCCAAGCCATCGCTCAGGTCTCGTTGGATAAGATGAATTCCGAAGCGAAAAAACCGCCGCGGAAGTTAAATTCTCATGTTGGTCCCGCCCATCAACGCGGGAGTTCTGAGGATGAAAAGTATCTACAGTTGTCATGAATCCCCTCTTCAATATGATTAACAGATTATATCTCTATCTTCCCTGAAGCCTAGTTTTGAACTTTTATCTTCAGACCCCGTACGTTGATTGGCGCAGCCACGTGGCTCTTTTACCTCCTGAAGCGGTATTCTCGCTTCGGACCATCTTTGGCAGCAAGACGTGGGCGATGGATGAGATAAAAGCCCCTTCCCTTTGTACGACATCAAAATCTTATTACCCTCAGTTTGGGTGAACGGTGTCTATAACAAAAATGACGCTTTGTTTACATCGGGGAATGGGTGTGAGTTATATTGAACTGATGTACTTTCCCTCACAAGCGTTTTCACGAAACTTCATGGAAGTTATATAAAAAAACACGTCAGAATACAATCGTAATCCTAATACCAATCATGGTCAAGCTCAGCGACTTTATCGAAGAGTATCCAAAAAATCTTCATGTTCCCCATCTGCTACCTGATGTCCGACTTCAACTTTTCGCCCTGACATACCATTGATATTCTAGCATGACCTTAGTGAATACAGAATGTGAAGCATCCGGCAAAGACAATCATATTTAGCGAAATTTGGGGGGCGCTTCACCTGATAATGTGTTTTTCTTATTGCCTCCTGATTGTGTTGAATTAGCCGTCATAGCCCGCTTCACCCGGCCCTATCAATTCGTCTTATGTATAGGGCTAAATGTCTTCGTTGTGTCCGTCTGTCTGTTTCGTACAGGGGTCGCAAGAAATGTCACTGATTGATCTTCAGTAAATTCCTTGTTTCGAAGTTTTTCGCCACTAGTTAGATACCATTCTCTAGAGCTGCTTCAGCTTGCAAGGAAATGCTCAGGAATCGAAGTGGTCAAACCAAACAAGCTGCATACCATTAGATGCAGCATAAAACGCGATTTCTAATCTGTATTCCATATCTGTTTAGTGCCAATGAGCAGAAGTTATGAAGTCAAAAGCCATTACTTTGTTGAGAAATCGGCATCAAAGCGCAAATTTGGCAGTACAGAGCCATGTTCAACTCGATGCTAGGCCAAAACATGCAGCTATTTTACTTTATATTCATGAAGCCTCAAGGTGAAATGAAGTGCAACAATGTGATCAATCTCGCAACTTTTACGTACGATTTTCTCGCAGTAGAATGCTCATATTTCGTCCACAATGGCGCTAAGCAGACATGAAATACAAAGTCGAAATTAGCGTTGACTGCTGCATCGGTAGCTTGCCTGGGTTGGCCACTTCGACTTCTGACCATTCTCTTGTTAGATTTTGAGTAGAAGGCTGAATATTGAAGGTGTCGGTGTTGCGGCTAGCGCGATTTCCACGCAAATCACGAGGTCTATTTGCGATCCGACAAACAAGATCCGGTAACGAGGGCGTGTTGAGGCGACCCAGCACTTCAGGTAAAGCTAGTTTTTTCTTTAGAAAGACTTATGGTTTGATTTCTGCCGAATGGTAGCCTCGTTATAGGCCTGTCGAGCAGATCAAGAGCTTTTTCATCATCCATGTCAGATCGATCGGCATCACTAAGGATAGTATGGGAGGGGCAGCAGGATTGCTGGGAGGATGAATTTGCAAATGAAGGTATTTAGATTCGACTACCTCACAATATTTTCATTTTGGGTATGTTGCTCCGCCATTCTTATATAGTTCTTTTAGAATCTCTCCTGATAAAATTGCTGACGGTCATTCTTAGGTATATGTTCAGTCTTTGCTTAGTTTGCTCTCCCTATCTTCTACTAGCGATTATGATCGTTAGTAATTGCCCGTATGTCTGGCGTACAGGGTTAAAATTTGCGAAGCGAACATGCATGACCGTGATACTTCACAATTGGAGCAATTTCCTGTTATGTCTGCAGAAGGAAGCGATTTAAATTGCTGATTGAGCTGCTTTGCACAGCACTGCACAAATTTACTACCACGTTATCTCATAATTAATGCACGTTTTTTGAATTCCAACTTCTGATCAGGATAATTCTTTTCCAGAACCAATTGGGCGCACTAAAAATTACTGCACTCATCAAACCTTTGATTATATAACGCATGCTTTTGTTGGATCGTAGCCATTTTCTTAAAAATTTTCTAGCCCGATAAATTTTCAAACATTTTCCTAGGAACTTACACTTTGAGAGGGCTTAACTTGCTTTAAAATGTACTACGATCGCGCAAACTTTGTTCGTTATATAGCCGAGGTCAAAGTAGTGAGGTGGTGTGGAGTTTACGGCATTTTTGTGTGAGAAAATTTCGCCAAAAAACCCAAAAGCAGCCACTTTTCTCGCCATTCTGAAAATGCCAAAAAACTGGCTTTTTGGGATTTTTAAAATTTTTTCTCCTCGAAAAGACGAGAAAATGCTGCCCTTTTTCTAGCATTAGCATTTCTAGCATTTTACTAGGTCCGCTCTGGATGCACATAGCGAATTTTGTACAGTCGCTTCTTGCCAGAGATTTTTATGCAGCATAAATGAGCTTCAGCGACCAGCCAAGTTCGATTCAAGATTCCTTGGCTCAGGATTTCTCAAAAATTTATTATTGAGAAGCGTTTTGTAGGACAAAAGTCCGCGTTACGAATAATTTTTGGAGAAAATCCGTCTACTTTTCATGGATTTAGAGCAAGGAGAGTGAAAGGAAAGCCTTTCGTATTTCAGTCACTTGTCTTTGAAGCAGTGGCGTACCCAGGATTTCCGCTCGGGGGGGCGCGACAACAAATTTTTTCGAATGAAGGTGCGTGGCGTTAGCCACGCACTCCGAAGAAAATTTTAGGGGTACTTCTCAAAATTTTTGCGGGTCCCCAACCCCTAAAATCTGGAAAAAGGGGGCGTGGCGTCAGCCAGCCGAAAAAAATTTTTTTACAAGGCTAATTTAAATTTCTAAAAATTTTTAAAAATTAATTTAATTATTTACAAGTATTAACAAGTCATTTGCACATTTTTATAACCCATATAAGTAACTTTCAAAAATTTCGCGACCCATTCTCGGGGGGGGGCGCCCCCCCCCCTCTCGGTACGCCACTGCTTTGAAGGCATGAAACTCGAGTTCAAAAAAAAAAGATTTGCGAAAACGAAAGCACATGGTAGAAACGAGAAGAATCGGGCTTTCCGGCAGCTTACAAGGTGCGCCAGAATTATTTGCGCGTATATTCTACAACGCAAAACTCTTGCAAGACGAGATCAGCGATAGGGAAAAAGCGATTTTGTTCCAGTAACGTTTTATCATTAAGAGGCTATAGCATGAATTGGAATTTCTGAGTGTGGCTTGAGAAAAATCACAAAATATCTTATTGATTGAGTTGGGCGCAACACGCAGGTATTTTTTCAGAGAATCTTCTGCTTCCTTATAGAAAAATGCTCCTGTGATGCAAGGAACGAGTCACATGATAGAGCAAGTTTTCGGCTGCAACATACTATAAGCGCAAAATCAAGGATGGTCTGACAAGAAAACTATCGACGTTTAAACAAAGTCATGTGTTTGCTACATGCTCAAAAACTGCACATTTTAGGGGTGCGAATGAGCGAAAGAAAAGCAGAAATGGACTCCAAATTAGGTTGGAGTTCAATTTCATCAGTGGAAAAGAACTGAATATTTATCTAGAAGCTTTGTGAAAGTACTGTAGCATTGAATCCGGTGAGAGGCACGTTTCTGTAGCTTATAAATGTGATTTGAAAACAAAAGGCCACTGACACGCGGGTGGCATCTGCGTACTTTTTGTTGCCATTTTTGGAAGAATAATTGTTAGCTAACGCAAGTACTACGATTCGATGGCGCAAAGCCTCCTCTACACTGTGGACATAAAATCTCTTGAAAATGTCTCAAGAATCTCCAGTTACGGAATGAATCATAGCTACCAAAAATTGGGTTTTTGCGCCTTCCTAAAAGTATTAGTACGACAATTTCATTATTTGCACAAAGATATAGTAATCACCTTGGGCTCATAAAACGCTATTTTGTAGAGGATGGCTGCAGCATTCTACCACATAAATTTTGAAATCAAAACTATGAGTAAAATTTTGAAATCAAAACTATGAGTGGTTTTTTTGCAGCACTTATGAGAAGTTGACGCAAATACTTTTGGCGCACCCTGTAAAGCGTTTTGGAAAAAATGGTTTTTTCTTCGAGATTCAGCTTTCAAAAAGAGATTAGAAAAATGTGCATTAATTACGAGACAATCTAATATAAAAAGAGTTTCTGAAATAATAGGTTAACGGTTCACTTGACCATACACTGTTAAGGTTTCAGCCATGATGATTTTCTTTTGAAAAATGGATCTTCTGAAGGCAGTGGATCTGCAAAAAGGATCTTCCATTTCATGCGCTTAGTCCTAAAAATGCGCCCCCGCACGCTTCCATTGGATGGGCGTCTTTGGTGGAGATTTTAAGCGCATTTTTAGGACTCAGCGCATGAATTAGAGGGTAAGGGTGAGGCTACGGTGTACTTGTGTGTCTATAAGCTAAATTAATAAGATCTGACTAGGGTCCATTTTGCCGATCCATCCCAGCCATTATTCGATGGTGAATGTGTCTCGCCTTTTTCCATTTCGGTTACGCTGGAGATGCTTCGTACTATTAAAACGATTAACTTGACGTCTAACTTGATTGCTACATTCAATTTGCATTATAGAACCCCAGCCGGGCCCATCAATCATAACAAGGTCCCCTTTATCGCCCACAATGGTGAGAGAGTCACCATCAATTGGAGATCTTGGATCGGTGTTCGATGACGTGAGTTGAACATCTCATTTCATAGAACATCTCATCTCATCAGAAAATAGTATTCACGGATGTAGAAAAATATAATTGCTTGTGCAAAACGTGAACATTGTGAGGCATTGGCTTATCGAGAATTTTATGAGTTATCCACATGCGAACAGTTAGTTTTCATAATTTTGTCTGTAACAAAAATGTTTCATGCATTTGATAGATAAAATACTAGACAAATACAAAAGAGTCAGAATTTTTCTCTGAGTTTTTGAACTCTATCCGGTTTCGAGTCTAAGATCTAACCGGTAGTGCAGCTTTCCTGGTGCCCCTCGTCAGTAGTTTACAAAAAAGACGGTGGCTCTGTGGCTGCAGGGCCTTTGATTGTCTGACAAGGGAAGGATACTCGGTCGAAGTGGCCATTTGAAATGAGCTGTATGTTAGGAAACCGTCCTCCGTAAGGCAAACTCTAAACTACTTTCGCTAGGTGCCGAGCGGTTTTGTGGGGGGAGGAGTTAAAAGGCCATTTTCCTCTGGCGCAGCCAGCGCACCCAGTGATGAGCGAGGCGTTAGAATAACGCGTTAGTGTGGCAGTGGCGCAGTGGCAACGCAGCTGACTACGAAGCAGATGGTCGAGGGTTCGAGTCCTGTTGCTGCTACTTTGTTTTGCAGTTCTGTAAAAAGTCTATTGGGTGACAGCAAACGAGAAATATTATTTCTAGGCAGTTCAAACAAGCTATTTACTGCAAAAAAGTCACTATTTCTACAATAAGCCATAATCTTTTACAATATGTGAATCTGTGGAGGTTATGATGTCACAACAATGGGTTCAAATGATATATTAACATGCATGGAATACAACCACAGAATGCTCAAAGCAGAAGAGCTTCTCGCCGCGCGCACTTGCAAAATTGCAATCGATTCACATCCCATTTATTGGCTCTTGATCTGAACTTTACCTTGCATCATAGGGATTCCATCCTTAAGATCTTACAGCTCATTTACACACAATTTTGCTCGCCGCGATTCAAAAATTTGCTTTCATACCCATGGATGCAGCCGGATACATTCACAACCACGCCGGCGAATTCGATTCTCCTACTCAGTACTGTTTTTCACCGACTTTGATAGGCAATTGTGAAGCTGCTGATTGTCATCGTTTCATTTTATCCGATGTGCGCGCTGCGAGAAGCTCTTCTACTTTGAGCATTTTGTGGTTGTATTCCATACATGTTAATATATCATTTGAATCCCTTGTTGTGACATCATAACCTCCACAGATTTACATATTTTAGAGGATTATAGCTTATTGCAGAAATAGTGGCTTTTGTAGTAACTAGCTTGTTTCGACTGCCTGGAAATAGTGTTTCTCGTTTGCTGTCACCCAATAGACTTTTTACAGAACTGCAAAACAAAATAGGAGCAACAGGACTCGCACCATCGACCATCTGCTTCGTAGTCCGCTGCGTTGCCACTGCGCCACTGCCACACTACTGCGTTATTCTAGCGCCTCGCTCATCACTGGGTGCATCAGCTGCGCCGGAGGAAAATGGCCTTGTAATTCCCCCCACAAAACCGCTCGGCACCTAGCGAAAGTAGTTTTGAGTTTGCCTTAGGGAGGACGGTTTCCTGATATACAGCATTCCAAATGGCCACTTCGACCGAGTATCCTTCCCTTGTGAGTAAGATCTACGATTTGTGGACTGCATGAAACGCCTTGGGGTTTACCTTTTATCTGTCTGCAAATGACGCCACCAAAAAATAAGTAGCTAGATTTTAGTAGGCTTCATACATTCCTGACGATGGGTGGCTACAGCTGACAATGGTCGCTGCTAGCAGCAACGCTTTCTATGCGTATCGATTGCAGCCAAGCGGCGCTGCTGCTCCTATTGCTGCAGTCAAGCCCGCTATAGCCAGCGAATCTGCGCTGCTCTTCGCTGCTCCCTGCTGCTCGTTGCTGCCCTCACTGCTACGCGATATGAAGCTCGTTTTTCGTTAGCTTTTCTCAGCTGCTTCTTGCTGCTATCAGCTAATCTGGCTCGGGTTTGCCCCTTTTACTATTTCTTTTGTGATTTCAAAAGATTTCGAAAGTATCTGTGGCGATATTGAACTATGACAATTTTGCAAGACTATCAAAAAGACAAATGCATAGGTGAACAAAGGAATCTGAACAAGAGAAACTCCGTAAGACTTCTGGAATCAAAAATAGAATATAATTAGAGTAAGATGAACATCTAAAGGCAGTCATTTACCTAGGAAAATAGTGGAATGTCGCAGGACCACTTATACAATAACGATAGTCAAACGAATCAGTTCAATGATCGCTCAAGCGCACGCAAGGGTCATGCTGTGAAATTTAACTCAACATGTGTCAAACTGTTGTTATTTCTGTAGCAAATGCAGCCTTTGGCCGCTGTACGCTTACTACAAGCAAAACTTTACAGTGAGAACAGTGTGCTATCTCCCATGATTATAAATTTCAGCGATGCAATTCATTTAAAGGCAGCGTACAGGCAAATCTGGACCCATGGGGCTCTCACGGGAAAGTAATTTTGAGGCCCTAAACAAGACTTTGCCCAAGCGGCAGAACAGATAGTGCACTCACGGCTAAATTGGGCTCCAAACTATCCCCGTGATCGTATTCGCATGGATTCGTGGCGCTTTCACGCAACGATCCACGCAAAACTGATGTGCCGAGCCATGAATCCATGCGAATGCGATCACGGGGCATAGTTTGGAGCCCAATTGGCCGTGAGTGCACTATCTGAGCTTATTTTGGGCCTCAAGATTACTTTCCACCTGAGGGCCCCATAGGTCCAGATTTGCGAGCTTCCTTTAACTCTTTCCTCTAGTCTAGATCAGTTGGGAGAGATAAGGATACTTGAGTATCTGCAACTTCGCCAATTTTCTCTTGCACTCAAAATGCATCCATGTGCAGCAGCCTCAAGCAGCTAGGAGCAGCGAAGACAGTAGGATTCGCCAATAGCCGCTATACCTCTATCGTCAGATATCTGTGAAGCGTGGAGAATTTATCATATACATCACGTCTTCAGTTTGATAATGGCTGCCTTGGTTCGTGTCTGTGCTAGCATATGTTACCCAACTGCCATGTACCTTGATGTATTTGGTGCCTTCCATACGAAGGCTAATAAGTTTTCTAAGATTATTTCTTCATCGTATGGTAAGTTTGTGAAAAGTCGGCCGAATCTATTTTTAGGCTACCATGAGCTGTTGTTGGTTCCTTAAGCACTTGGCTACTACTTTCTTTGGCAGAAATAAGAAATGTGTAGTTGACATTATGGCTAGTTGCCTTCGCGATTTTTTTTGCAGTTGTGGAAAAGTGTCTTGTTCTTACAAGGGAACGATCCCAACTTAAGGTGGCAAATTGGAATGAACCGCATACCATTAGATGCGTCTTGATGAGCTGATTCCAAATCTACCTTCCATATCTGCGACAACGTTATTTGCAAAAAGTTATGAGCGGTTGAAAATGTGAAGTTATTGGGATTTTAATGCATAATGTGCTTCAAAATTCAACTTGAAATTGCACGACTAGCGTGATATTGAGTGTACTGATTTCACGGAATGCTCACATTCAAAAGAAACACAAATAAGTGTTTTTGAACAGCTGAAAAGCAACTAAAGTTCTCTGGTAAAAGCTATGAGCAATGAAAAATCCAAATTTGGCAAATATACAGCGCCATTTCTCGAAAATTAGTTGTTCAAAAATACTTATTTGTGTTTCTTTAGAATGTGAGCATTCCGTGAAATCAGTACACTCAATATCATGCTAGTCGTGCACTTTCAAGTTGGATTTTGAAGCACATTATGCATCGAAACCCCAATAACTTCACATTTTCAACCGCTCATAACTTTTTGCAAATAACGTTGTCGCCGATTTGGAAGGTAGATTTGCAATCAGCTCATCAAGACGCATCTAATGGTATGCGGTTCATTCCATTTCGCCACCTTAAGTTGGGATCGTTCCCTTGTTAGTGATTTAGAAGCTGAAAATCATTCAAACTTTTTTACCATTTATGGCTTACAGTTGTTTTCTTTGTTGTTGAAAGTAATTTTTTGAAACAGAGTGTCGGTATTTGAGAGATCTTATCTCTAATTGATGAATAATAGTGTTTTCGGTACGACCTGTCTTTGTAGGCAGTTGGACAAATCTTTGACATTGGGTTATCTCACTTTGTGGTCTTTCAATGAATGTGAATTTTAGATATGCAGTTTTGAACAGCATTTGCTCAAATTGCTAGGAACTTGACTTACTGTGTCTATTGCTTAACTGGACAAGATAAATGCAGTACAAATACACAGAAGTACAATTTGAACTTGACTTTTGCTCATTTTTTCTCAAAAAAAAAAGAGTCGGAAGTCTGCCCGAACATCATCTTTGAGGGATTTTCTTTCGTCATTGTATAGAAATGCACAGCGAACTGTTATTTTTTATTTTGCTAATGCTGATTTATGCGCTCACAGTGCATAGAAAGTTCCTGATTCTTATTCTGTCGGGACCCAAGACTTGCACCACAAATCTTCTGAAAAGGTACCATTCTGTAGAGCGGGGTTGAACTTAGGTTCACAGTATGGAGCGAATCACCAATTGCATTTCGTTACTGTATTATTTATGAACTTTCAGCCGCCAATGTGAATAAGCCTTTGATGAAAAAATTCTAAAAAATCTATAAATTTGTGTAGCAAGGTTTTTAGGCGTGCTGATTTCACTTCGCAACTTCTTACCAATTTCTCGAGTTCTTTATAGTGTAATCACATTTCTGACGAACATTGGAAAAACGACCCTAAACCTGAATTAACTTACGAAAGAAGCATTACAGTAAAGTGCAAACATATTCAAAATCAGCGCTTGGCGCGAAAGTTCTTGCGTAAATTCAAACAATTCGGTAAATTTTCAAAGGTTAGACCTATATTGATGGTTTGGTATCTTAATTAGGGAATTTTTGGGCTCCATAACAGGTATTCAAGCTCAGCATTCTATAAATTAGCCAAAAGAAAAAAAC